GGATCTCAGCAAGCAAAACACAAGTTGAAAATGTCACATCGGAATAACGTGCTCATACATAAAAACATGTGTGCAAGTAATAAAAAGACTCAGGATCAGTTGTTATTGTGCTATGTTAGCCACGATTGACAATATTTTCGCTACCATGCGAGCCAGAGGCACTCCGAGCTCTGTGCTCATGCTGTTCAGGCTTTTGAGGACACGCTTCTCCCAGCTTGCCTGTGGAAGAGAGCACACACACACATTCAGAAACACTGGGCTTCAGACACCAAGAGGAGAGGCTGCGTCTTAGATATCAGCAGGAGAAAGGACATGAGTCTGGGATGTTGAGGAAGAGGGAGTGATGCAGATAAGAGGAGACAGGCTGACCTGAGTTTTGCGCATGTAGGCGAGCGGCTCTTTGAGATGTTCAGGAGGGGCGACCGGGTGGCTGGGGGGCAACTGGCTAGAGTAAACAAACCGGGAGGGGGCAAAGAGTGTAAAAGCATTGAGTTAATACATAAGAGACGCCACAGGTAAGGTGTCAAACATTATCTTTAAAACAGGCACCATTAGCGCCCGGCTCAATAGGCTCAGATGAGTCATCTCCAGTCTTTCCCCCTCTAAGCAAGCTTTAGTTTATTGAATGACTCAAGGTCTTAGAGCATTAAACAACCTTAAACCTAACCTAAACACCGATAAGAGCACATATGGCTGACTAATGGCCAAAAGGACGAGGCATTAGTCAAAGTCATATTTCATCCTTTAAAAGCAAAGCATTAGGAGTGCTAACTCTCAGTCTGAGCCTCAAGAGAGCGGCGAGTGCTTGTTGCCCTCAAAAGGTAAAGGAGAGCAGTCGAGGAATACTTTTCCAAGCTGTTTATTCAACTTTAAAGAGTTTTCCGGCTCAATTGCTCTAATAAAGATTATGAAAGGGAACTAAAAGGCCATAAATCTGGATTATTGTGGAGTACTAAACTTGTTTTACAATCTCTTATCGACCTAATTCCAGTGTTTGTTTGCCAAAATAGCCGAGTAATGACGCAAATAATACTGATGGGAAATGAGAAAATAACAAGTTGAGGTCAAAATGTGTGTACAAAAATGTGCACTTTGCAACCAAATGATCTACTTTAATCATAACTGTACACGAACAGCATGTTTACCCAGTGAGCTCTATCCTAATCTTCCACTATAGTGAGATGTTTGGCAATTAAAATGCATGCTGCCAGTACACCGATCATAAAAACCACAATCAGATGGTGAAAATCCAATAAAATAAATTAAATAAACATTTATAAGCTGTTAATAGTCAATTACCCAGCGGGCCTGGTTGCGCTTGTTAAAATTATCCAAAGGGGTTTACTCTTCTCCAAAACAACCCCAGTGATTAAAAACTCTAAACACGCAGAATAAAGATGTGTTTTCTCAGACACTATTTGGCACAGGTTTTCTGCTGCAATTGAGCTGCGGCAAACGTTTGATCAGCTTCCTTATCTCATCTAGAGAATAAAATACTTCATCAGTCAAAAAAATATACTCAAAAGTGCATGACCAAAATGACAGGTGACCAAAATAAACTGAACGCTACCCTGATTTAAATGAGGGATTTCTCCACGTTTGAGACTTGTTGGAAATAGCGTGAATCGTGAAAGTACACAACAACAACAAAATATTGGTCTTTCTGTTTTTAGAAATTGTAATAAAAAAAGTCATATTAAAGCTATGGAAGGCAGTGTTTCCCCTATATACAAATAGTGGCGGCGCAGCGCCGCTGCTGAAATATGAGCGCCGCTCCTAGGGGGCGCCAGCCAGGTACCCAAAAAATAAATAAATAAAAATGTCTTTACTTTTTTTTTTTTTTCTTAAAATAATAATAAGTGGTGACCCTTTTTCATTTTTGATTGTTTGTTATGTGGATTTGTAGTATTTGTGTTACTGGCATAGGCGACACAGGTGGTCGCCTAGGGCGCCAGATCTGGGGGGCGCTGCGCTGGTAGCTCTGGGAGGGAAAAAACATTTTTGACCGTTGGCGCTCATCCAAATGTTCGGCCTTGATGTAACAACATTCATAATTAAGTAAATGTAACACCCTTTTCACCCCGGTTACACGTTTAATTTGCCCTGTACGGTGGGCGCTGTAAGTGATGAAAGTGGGGGATGTTGGCTTATCAGGCGCCCGCAGCTCACAGCCAAAGTGCAAGCGTGGTAGCGAGAGAGCGAGCAAGGGAGAGGGCGCACCGGTACCGGCGCTGTTGTTATTAGAATCTGGTGCTAGCTGCGCTAACGGATATAAGAAGTAGATGTTTCTACAACCAGGGTGGAGGAGAGCTCTCCTGTCAGACTGAGAGGCTCAGTGAGGTCAAGGACTCTCTGAGTATTTAGATAGTTAATTTTAGTCTAAGTTATCTCAGTGGGTCTCAAACGTTTTGACCACAAATTATGTAAACACATATTTCCAAGGCACTCCTTTATAATTATTAGGATAAATAAAAACAGGTTTGAAATCATTCCAATGTATACTATAGGACAGTTAACCTCAAGAGCCTTTCTTGTACATAGAAACAAATTGGCGGGGCGCACTTCGCACGCACACACACTAAAAAATTCCACGCGCTCCGCGCTCACATTATGCTGGGCCCACGTGCCTTCGCACCGCTGCTATGACTCCATCCTAGGGGAAACACTGGAAGGGCTAATTGCAAACCACAATAATCCGAGTAGCTCCTAACAGGTGTGTGTATACAGATACAGGTGCATGTCACACAAAAAACACTTACAAACTGAATGTAACTTACACATGCAGTTCTCTGTATACTGCATTCTGTAGCTGCCTTTCCCAGCCTGCAACACAAGGGAAAAAAAGGTTATTTATTATTGTTACATCATATATTTATTGCATTGTATGAGGAAAGGAGAAGACAGAAATATGAGAATACACCCACCTGATGTTTTGAGAAAACTGCGTACGTCCTCTTTAAGGGACTCCAATTTTATTTCAGGTTGATGCAAACATTCCTACACAACATTAGGGGAAATAAAGTTAGAAATTGTATCCGTTTTGCAACTTCTAAGAAGAAGTACAAATGCAACTGTTTACGACACTTTGAGGTGCACAACAACCTGCTCGTTAGCCACATGCTAGCTCGTTAGCTCACTCACTTTGGCTTGCCTCTCTATCTGAGAGTGTAAATGGCTTCCCTTCAGCCGCTGCACGATCTGAGCGATGGTCAGAGATAACTCGGAGCCTTCTTCCATCCTGCTTTATTTAAGTTTTGGGTGTGAAAGGGCACAGTTTGTTGTGTTGTTCACTAGCAGCATCCGGCTATGCGGCAGCTGCCCGCTGCAGAGGTTACTTAGCAACTGTGTCAGATCGTGTGCAGGGGAAACAAGAACCAGATACTTTGGTTCCGACATGAAATATCAGTTCCGACGGTAAAAACATACATTAAACACACGAGAAAATCACTTTACATGTTATTTATTTTAATTGGTGGGATGTAGCTAACTAAGTGTATTTAATCGCATGATGTACTTAAGGACAGTGTTGAGGTAGGCTACCTGTGCTTTAAGTGCAATGCTAAACAGTACTCCACTGCAATTTAGATGTAAATTATTGCACTTGCATTTATCTGACAGTTACATACAATGACTCTTCTAAAATCAGATTACAAAATATAATTCAATGTTATATCTCATCACCTTATAAGGTAGTGAATATTATCCAATAACATACCTTGACAGATGTAGTTTTATGCAGATTGAATAGCCTACTTTACTTGAGTAAATTTAGCCTGTTAAAACACTTTTACTCGTAATATGGAATACTTTTACGTTTTGGTAGTAAACAATCGTGGGATTGCTTCCATATTTCCCATTTTTTAAATAGTCACATAATGTTTTTTGTTGACCTCAACACCCTTGCCTATTCAAGTGTGTTTTACTCTTATTAACGAGACAAAGTCAAATTAAGATTTGTTCTAAATGTGGGTGTTTGACAACATATAGGGCCATTCATGTGTTTGATTATAATACCAGCCCTAAAATATCACCAACTTTTTATACATGTTTCTCTTCCAAGGATTTCCTAATGAGTCCATATACTAACAATAATTGTAATATATTGGCTCAACATGTGTCTGATTCCTAAATATTTGAGTTTGCATTGTTTGGACATGCGCTTCCATGTTGCTGCTGACATGTCACATGAAATGCTACAGAAGGAAAACCATGCTTTCAGATGTAAGCGTTGGCACACTGTAAGTATCCCAGACACAGCACAGGCCCCGGATACCTGACATCTTACATTAAGTTAATTTCGGTTACGCACCTTGAATTTGTCGTCTCTTACAAATGATCTGGGAAATTAGACATATTTGGGATTAATAAAGAAGAAGAATGGTCCATGAAGAAAACCTACTTACCCCAGTGCCTCATCTCTATTACTACAATGATTTATGAGTGTTTTATTTATTTAAAATAAAAAGGGGAGGGGGGGTTGCTGACTTGTACAGACCCTAACTGCGGGCTGAACACTGAGGAATGCGACCCTGTCAGTAGAAGGAAATGCTGAGCACGAGAGAAGCGCACCAGACACAGAGCGCCCTATTGGAACTTGTCGACAACACTATATCCTTATAACGATTATTTTGTTCTTCTTTTTTAATCGACAGTAAAGGAGTTATTGATATACATTTTGATCCTTTTGGAGCATTTTCTTTATCTTGCAAGAGCATGCTGTTCTGATGCCATATGAGTGATTTTACTTGAGGCGACAAGGGAGAACGCGACATGGAGACGTTCACGTTACACGAAATGCTCATTAATTCGACTGATCTTAACCAGATTTTATGTAATTTCGGGATCAACATTTCGGAGTGCCAGAGCGAGCAGGAGCCGTCACCCGAAACAAAAGGTACAGTGACTCTTATTTATTGTATATCACTATAAAGTCACAAGAAACCTCATGTCCAATAAAAGATCAGTGTATTCTGCATTTTGATATTCATTTGTATTGAAAATGCAATCAATTAAATCCAGTGTTTCTGCCTAAACAGCGACAGCTTTGGGCATTTTCTTTGCGTCAGTGCGCATTACGCATGGCTCAGATAACGCGGTCTGCTTTATGTTGACATATATGTTGTCACTAAAGACTTTCTGCCAATGTCAAGTGAAGAGAAATGCATGCAATTCCGGCCACTGGATAAAGGGTTAAATGGCGCAGAGCTTGCACATTTCGTCTGGTCTATTAGAATATTCTAATGTGTTCAGAATATTTCATCGTGGTTATTCTTAGATACACTTTTGAATATATGAATTTTTACTGTGAATGTGAATATATTTGCTTTGAATGTCTATTTCAATTCATTTGTATTTTTATTCTATTTTTAAGACATTTTGTAATGACTGACAAAAATGCTGTTTTGAGAAAACAATTTCTCAACTTGGGATGAATAAAGTTTCTATCTTTCTTTCAATCTTTCTTTCCGTGTATCTATCTATTCTGTGGAAAAATCTAAGAGGGATAATCAAACATGAGACATTTCATTTAGGATAATCATGGTGATTCCCAGATATTCTGATCCATTTGCTTTATACAAGTTACTAGATAGGATTATTTGAGGAGTTTTAAGTGGGATCAAATATATCAAAACCAAAAATAGAAACATTTTTAAGAATGACATGCCCACAGTTTGTCTCCCTCTCCTTTCAGACATCAACCAGACAGTGCGGATCATCCTCTACAGCCTCATCTTCCTCCTCAGCGTTCTGGGTAACAGCCTCATCATCGGGGTCCTGGTGAGGAACAGGCGCATGAGGACCGTCACCAACCTGTTCCTGCTGTCCCTCTCCATCAGCGACCTGATGGTGTCCCTGTTCTGCATCCCCTTCACCCTCATCCCCAACCTCATGAGGGACTTCATCTTCGGCACCGGCACATGCAAGCTGGTCATGTACTTCATGGGTAAAGTGCTGAGTCGTTGGTTATCTTTACATTTGGATACAACCATACATTTAAATCTTGATTTGCATTAAAATGTCACACTTTTGTCAATGATTTGGGATTTTTTTATCACCCACATATTGTTAAAATCGACTATTATTCCCCAGTGGGTTTAGTTTTACTCAAAGAAAGCTAAAGGAAACTCCAAATTGTCAAATTCTGCTTTTAAGTTGAATCTAAATGTGTACAAGTTTTGCAATTATCCATTATTCCATTGCCATTTCGTATAATTTCTGCCATGCAAATGAGTCAACTGTGAAAATTGTGCAATATTGTGTTAAAAATAGAGGATAAATGAAGTCACCTTGGGCCATGTTCAGCATAAGGTTCATTTCCCTGCATGTTCTAATGCTCCTTGTGGTTTAATGAGCTACAAAAGCCCTCGTCAACTCTCCCTTTTAATTTCATGGTGGATTTAACCTCCTGAATATTAACAGAGTCCAAAATCTGAGTATTGAGCAACATGCTGTATGTGTAGAAGGATCAGCCACAACCCAAATACATATTTAATGTATAAAAAGCAATTGGATATATTTGTTTTCATCTCCAAACATCTCATATTAGTTTCAGCCGAACTTAAATTCTTGAGCTTCACTGTGCATAATGATGTGTGTGCCGAATGTGGGACAATAAAGGCTGTTTCCACACTCGTCTGCTGGAGGAGGGAAGCTTCACTGCATTCACTTTGAATCTGGGCGTGTACGTACATGCAGCTCTCCAATATGTTCCAATATGCAGCCCACAGAAGTGTGATGTTAGACACAGCGGCTGAAAATGAGACAGCTCAGAGCAAGAACACAACCAGACCCGCTTTAGGGGGGAAGAAGCAAATCAAACGAGAACAGGAAGTGAGGTTATAATTAAAACATCGACCTAACTTAACCCTTATTAGTTACCCTACATTTTTAATTAGTAAGAAGTCAGTGAAATACTCAATACAAAAGCCCACCTCTTTACAAAGAACAGTGTTATCAGTAATGATTTTCCTGCCATAATACGGAGAAGCAGTTTTATTCTTTATTCCTCTTTGTGCAGAGCTGAAATTAACATAATTGCGTTAAATATAACCAAAGTTTGCACATTATCAAACCACAAGTAAAATCAGTTAGTGCTATAATCTAATAATTATTTCGATTTTCAATTGATATCCCGATATAAATGTCAGATAATTGTAAAAAAGTTGATGTAAACGTCTTACCGTACATTTGATTTTTTCCGTTGATCATTTGTTCAACTAGTCAACAAATGCATCTGTACTTTAAGATTAACTCATAGTTAGACTCCAAGAGCACAATTTGAAACTAATTGACTGGATACTTGTCAAATTCTATAGTAATTACCTATTTAGATTACTCTAAAACTGTTTCTCAAAAGATCCACAGCAGTCAGCTCTCAGAGCACCCTGTAATAAGGTGTAGTCATTACAGATGGTGCAACTTTATTAATATTTCATTTTCATCTGATTACAGGTCCGCTAGGAAATCTAATTTTCACTTTTGCCCCTTACATCCTCCCGTAGTGAGATCAGAGCGCTGTCATCCAGGTTTATTACCTAATTCGTCCGTGTGTTTATCTGTTTACGTGTCGCTCCTGGGATCGTACACAGCGATCATTTCGATGTATTTATAGTCCTTCTTGTTATTGTTACTCAGTGTGTTAGCAGACACGACATGTTCTGTGGCTAAATTTAATGTGACAAATGAATGTGCCATAGCATCACAGTCACTGGAGTAAACACGGTGACATGTTGTGAGGATGCTGATCATTAGGCGTTACAAAGCCCATTGTAGAGATTAAAACAACTAAAAGCTGGAGGGAAATTATACCTAATTAAATGAATAGTTACAATTTAGGAAATGCACTTTCTCGCCAAAAGTTTGAAACCACCTTGTTGTCTTTTCATCAAGTATGAAGCTACAGCATTGTGCTGTTGTGTCTCAGTTCTGTTACACTTCTATGTCGTACACTTTGAATTTGTTTTCATGAATTTCGACAGGGTAGTGTGCAATGACGATTGTCGTGGTTAGCTGGCTAGCTAGCTAGCTACGTTGTCGTTTGTGTTTCCAAATCATTACAGTCTGCCCTTTTAACCTAATAACCAAACTAATGGCTTCTATCCACCAAGAAAAATAGAGGTATGTTTATTAATTAGTAATAATAATTACTTCTTTAGCTTAAACTTTAGTAGGCCTATTAGTCATAGCGTCAAGATGAGATAGCAAAAGCCAGGCTAGCTATTTCTCCCTGATTCAAGTGTGAATGCTAAGCTAAGCTAACTGACCCCTGGCTCTATCTACTGTATAGGCTTAATGGTACACTTTTACTTAAACAAATGATATTATTAATATGGTCGGATATGGCCAGCTCATGAGATTACAGCACTGAAATGTCATATTATAGTTTTTTAATAAATCAGGGCCAAAAACTAAAACTATAAAAGTCGATCATCACATTTTGGGGATTTTCTGTTCTGTGCAGGTGTCTCTGTGTGTGTTTCCACTTTCAACTTGGTGGCCATTTCCCTGGAGCGCTACAGTGCCATTTGCAACCCGCTGACTTCGAGGACGTGGCAAACCAAATCTCACGCCGCCAAGGTCATCACTGCCACTTGGGTTGTGTCCTTCATCCTGATGCTGCCGTACCCCATTTCTAGCAACCTCAAGCCTTTCACGCGCTACAACAACAGCACCGGGTACATGTGCCGCCTGGTGTGGCCCAACGACGTCATCCAGCAGTCCTGGTGAGCTGAGAATAAGTGCATTAGGCGTTGTACCTTTAGTGTCCCAGCAGGCTGTCCTCACAGTCAGATGCACTTAGATTAAGTGTAAAAGTAGCCTGTTGCTAATTTCAGATGGCGCCTTTATTGATTTGCTCAGTGTGTGCTGGTGAGAAACGACCTCTTGGGGAAATCATCCTGCACGACAGAGATGACCCTACAAAATAAAAGCAAACAATTTTAAGGTTTAATATAATGATAAACGTTTGCATATACCAAATGTGTCCCTTGCAGGTACGTGTGCCTGTTGTTGATGCTCTTCCTAATCCCCGGGATCATCATGATGACAGCCTACGGACTCATTTGCGTGGAGCTTTACCGTGGCATCTCATTTGAGCTGTCCAGCAGAAAGTCTATCAGAGGTATTGAAGTATACAATTATAAAAAGGACAATGCTGGCATTATTCTGTTTTTGATCCTACGGTAAATACCACAATGGCTGTTTTAATCAGCTCCAAGCTCACTGTTTTTTTCCCTGATGATGCAAATCTATAAAAAACAGATCAGAAGTATTCTTTCATATATGTAAAAAAATAATAATTTTGTTAGCTGGGCACAATAGATTTGATCAGATGTTTAAAATATTGTTGTAAATAATGAATTTGTAAATAATTTACGAATGGAAAATCATGCTATATTTATGAAGAAGCAATTGACATTATGTTGTCGGGAAAATCTTTACTGAGATACCTAATCAGTTAAAGTATATTTTATCATAGACTTCTATACAATCAAACTTCTTTTTGCAACCTGAGTGACTTTCTGAGCCATAAGTGCTTTTAGACTGCTGATAAAAAAAAATCGACACTTGGTCTTTTCTTAACAAAATCTCTCCCCTGGCAGAAAGACAATCAAGCACTGGCAGCATAAAGCCTGGTGACAGTGACGGGTGTTACATGCAGCAGTCCAAAAGGAAGAGCATCACTGGGGGTGGAGGCAGCTCCAGTATCAAGCCCAAAGCAGAGCGTGTGTGCAGCAGCAGCTCCACAGCCAACCTGATGGCCAAGAAGCGTGTGATCCGCATGCTCCTGGTCATCGTCTTCCTCTTCTTCCTGTGCTGGACCCCCATCTTCGTGGTCAACGCGTGGCAGGCTTTCGACCGGCGCTCGGCCTACCGCCTCACCGGGGCGCCCATCTCCTACATCCACCTGCTGTCCTACACCTCGGCCTGCGTCAACCCCATCATCTACTGCTTCATGAACAAGCGCTTCCGCCAAGGCATGCTGGCCACGTTCACCTGCTGCAGCTGCCTGAGGAGCAGCAGTGGTCTGGGGGGGTCGGCTGGAAGCGGGACAGCAAAAGGGGAATTGGGCAGATTAAGAGCGGGGCCAAAAAACCCCGAACAGAATGGTCATACCCCGCCAAGCGGAGCCAACACACGCTTCACCTACACCGGCATCCGTCCGTCAGCCTGGAGTGAGCTGACTTAAACTCGATCGATGTGTGTGCAAACACTTAAAAAATGAGTTGTTTTAATGTCAAGCCTTCACAGTGCTTATGTCACTAGTTTATAAGTAGCTATGGTACCGAAAGCTAGTGTCCAAGCTGGTTGACTGACACCTGATCATATTAAGCCTTAAAAAGGGCCTCACAAAGCAGAACAATACCGTCTAAAAACTCTGTCTACAAATGTTACATTCCCATACGACTGAACTGCATTTTCAATTATGCTTCAGGTAAACGTATTTTCTTCCAGATTGCGGACCCAGTTTCAAACAGTTGGTAACAAAACGAAACAACAATAGTTATTGGTTACGTTTAGTAAAAGATCAAGATTTGGCTCAAAATAATAGACTGAACGATAAGATAAGAGTTTATCAAAATTACAAAAAAGTATAAATATTCTTACTTACCAATCTTGAAAACAGTTCACACCAAGATCTGCACATTTTAGGCAGCAATCTGATGCCACACAAGGTGCTATGCTAATCACCTCCTGTTGCTAGCTCCATTTGATGGAAATAACTGCAAACTGATGGCTGCCTAGAAGGCGGGAAAATACATTAAAGAAAAGGCGCATTCACGCCGCAGTACTTTTCCCACAAAGGTGCATGAGAACTATTTAGTTCTCATTAACTAAGTACAGATCGCGTTCACACCGGAATAAATTCCCTGAGGGAGGAGGCAAATGAAACCGCTGGCGTCACTTCTTCTTCTGCTTTGGGTTTACTGGCAGGCCACAAACAACTTCACGGCGCCGGAAGTCCCCGGATTTTGGGGACTGGCTTCAGTAGAAGCTGCTGGGACTCCCAGCAGCTTCTACTGAATCCTTCCGACTAAATCGCCAGAACGCCGACACCTCCTCATCTCCACCGCTCCCAAGTTTTCTTTTGTGTTGCCATAAGTTAGTCTCTCTGCGTTTCTGCGCTGGGCTAATGCTAATGCGAGGATAATACAATGGCGGCTTCACAAAACTTTTTGGGAGTTTTACGGGGCGTGGTTTACATTCCGCCCAGCCAATTAGACATAGGAACCTTTTTCTCTCACGAAAGACGGGGTAAAAAGGTTCTCATTACCTAATTTTAGTTCCGGCTCTTTTTGGTGTGAACGCGACATTTTGGAACTAAAGTGGGAAAAGTAGTGCGGTGTGAACGCGGCTAAGCTATGCTAATCACCTCCTGTTGCTAGCTCCATTTGATGGAAATAACTGCAAACTGATAACAGCAGTGACTGCTATGGTCCTTTAAAATCAGACTTGTGTGTAAACAGGTCTTTTTGTCTGTCGTGTACAGCATTGGCCGCCAGTCACAATGCAACTGTAATCAGCAGCTTCAAAACAGCCCTGCGGTGCAGGACAAGAGCAGCACTATTTGTGCACCGCAGGGCTGTTTTGAAGCTGCTGATTACAGTTGCATTGTGACTGGCGGCCAATGCTGTACACGACAGACAAAAAGACCTGTTTACACACAAGTCNCATAACAAAAAGAACACAATACAACCCCCGAAACAACTATCAGATGTCTATAAACCTGTAAAACGATTGATTACATTCAATTGTGTTCATGTTTAAAAGGACTTGTGTCAAAATAGGCACATCTTCATGCAATAAAACAACTCAAATATTCATAGATGCATCAAACCTACACTGTAAATGGGAATTTATACAACATTGACATACAGAAACAAGAAAACAAAAAGTTGCTACATGAACGCTGCTATATTTAACAGTTGGAATCAGTTCCAACTGTTAAATATAGCAGCGTTCATGTAGCAACTTTTTGTTTTCTTGTTTCTGTATGTCAATGTTGTATAAATTCCCATTTACAGTGTAGGNGGGTAGACATGTGGAGATTATCCGGTTGAACAAAACGTGATCCGTCTCTTAAATGACCTTATTTCCAGCTATTTTCCAAAATCCTATGGAGAAATCCCATTGGTTTTTGTCAAAGGAACCGGAAGTGGTAAAATGCTAACTTACTTCTGGGGTTTAGAACGCGTCACTGTGGCACTCTATTCATGTCAGATTTTGGTCATAGATTGCTTAATACAGGCGAATAGAATATAGCAGGCATAGTTTGCAGTTTGGGACACATTAGACTAATATTGGCTATTGGTCAGGCATTTTCCCCAAAAATCACGTTACACATTTTTCGTAAGGATTTAACAAACAATCGACACACATGTTTATCATTGGGTTAAGAGATAGAGATTTATGAATTGCATCAATCTGCATTTAATCTAACTATTGGCAAAAAGGCAAATAAGCAATTTTCCAAAAGTATTGAATTATTAATTTAATATCAGTTACCAAACAGAAAGACCTTGTTTGTTTTAGTTTGTTAGTCTCATGTCATTTGTACAATTATATGTTTTTCTTCAAAAGCACATACTGAGCTTTCTGCTTGCCTCCCTTCTGACCATCCATCATTGTTTTCTGCTTCCCCCTAGCCTTAACTCCTGTCATTTATCTTTGCTTTATTCCCTGTCAAATTATACAAATAGTGTTTCTTTCTTTAGGCTTTCCTGTGCTTCTAATCCATCTCTTTCTTCCCCCATCAGATCATCCGTAAAGTGGACAAGCAGACGGCGCTGCTGGACGCCGACGACCCCGTCTCCCAGCTCCACAAGTGTGCCTTCTACCTGAAGGACACAGAGCGCATGTACCTGTGCCTATCCCAAGAAAGGATCATCCAGTTTCAAGTGAGTGTCTCACCCAACCTCCCTTTTCTTACATCTCTTCCTTTCAGGTCACTTCACCCTCAGATCCAGTTAATGTTCTGCCGTTCAGGGAGGATTCAGGATGATTGGTTTAGCATTTTGAAATCGGGAGCCATTTCTGTCCCATTTAAAGTAGACTGAAAGCAATTTGAGATGTTTCAGGACAAGATGCCTTTTCGTCTTTGAAGAAAAGTGTGCACTCCACTCTACTCTCCTCTTTTTAAGATGGTCATAAATCCAAAGTAGTCTTGATTTGATGCAATTGTTGGTGGTTATCTCTGCCCTGATGTCCATTAAGGTTTCTGTCTCCTCTACTCCAAGGCCACTCCATGCCCAAAGGAACCAAACAAGGAGATGATCAATGACGGCGCCTCCTGGACAATCATCAGCACAGACAAGGCTGAATACACTTTCTACGAGGGCATGGGCCCCGTGCACTCGCCTGTCACCCCCGTGCCTGTGGTAGAGAGCTTACAGGTAGACACAGAAGAGACATTCTTTTTAAATACAAGGGCCCCAACACAAAGCCTTGTGGTACTCCTATAGTCCGTGATCATAAATCTGGGTTCAGTCCTTTTAATATGTGTTCTTTGTCCTCAGCTAAATGGTGGAGGAGACGTCGCCATGCTGGAGCTGACGGGACAGAACTTCACTTCAAATCTGCGGGTCTGGTTCGGAGATGTCGAAGCGGAGACCATGTACAGGTAATTTGTCTTAAAGATCACACCTTACATGACAGACATTTTTGTTTTTGTTCTCCCCCATCTCCCAATCTACTTTTTCCTGTTAAAGGATATATGAATAAGTTATAAATTTAATTTAAATGAATAAAAGCTTTCAAAATGCTCTCTCTCAGGCGTAATGCTGCAGATCCTGTGGATGCTTAATGGACTATATCAAGTTGTATAATCCTCAGTTTTCCTTTGACTGAGCCAAAAACCTTTAAAAGCCAAGGTTCTGCAATGTTACAGCTTTGTCCTTGGCTTTCTTTCTGTCATATTGAGTTTATACACAGATCATATTTAATCTGTTTATTAGTGCCACCCACCAAGCATTAAATCGGAGACAGTGGAGGAGAATGAAAAGTCCAGTCTTTCGGGGAAAGAACCTCTGAGATGTTACTGCGGCCTTATTCAGGGTTCTTACGGTCATTAAAAACCTGGAAAAGTTATGGAAAATCTAAATGCTAATTCCAGGCCCTGGAAAAGTTATGGAAAACAATATCTTTGAAAAAGTCATGGAAATGTAACTAAGTTGCATCAAATATAATTTATATTTTATCTAATCGCCGACATAGTAATACTATAATGATAATAAATACTGTATCGTATAGTAATGAAACGTAAAATGTATTTTACGAGGTATTTTGCTGGTGAGAGATTTTAGTTGCTTTAGCGTGTAGAAGCTAGTAAGCCTACTATAGGATTTGTTTTAGATAGGCACAACATGTTTCATATGCAGACCTTATTTTCCTGTTCCATGTTAAAATAAACCATTTTCAGACGTAACACTGAGAGAGAGTAATTTTTTTGGTCATGGAAAATTAGGTAAAGGTCCTGGAGAAGTCATTGAAAATCATTGTATGAACCCTGATTATAATTAAAGAGTCTCTGTTGCTATTCCAAGAACTGATATTATTTTTTTGTAGCAAAAAAGGAAAATATACATGTATAATCACCAAGATTAACTATTTTGTTTTGGAAAATCTTCTTACTTTGTGAGTTCTATAAACCCTTTTAAAACCCTGTTGGATATTTTTCAAAAATACCTTTTCAGGATATTTTGGTTATATTTTCTTGTGAGCAGAGTTTGCTCCTAAAACTCACTCTTTTTGGAAAAAGATAAATATCATTTTGTTATCTTATGCACCTGTAAAATAGCGGTTTCAGTGCATCAAGGAATATTTGAAGGGCTACTACAAAAATAAATGTACTCGATTTAAACACAAAGAGACCCCTGTGTGACTATACCTCTAACATGTGTGTCGTTCCCCCCCCCCCTGCAGGTGTGCGGAGAGCATGCTGTGCGTGGTGCCCGACATCTCTGCCTTCCGCGAGGGCTGGCGCTGGGTGCGGCAGCCCGTGCAGGTGCCCGTCACGCTGGTCAGGAACGACGGCATCATCTATTCCACCACGCTGACCTTCACCTACACGCCGGAGCCGGGGCCGCGGCCGCACTGCAGCGCCGCCGGGGCCATCCTGCGGTCCGGGAACTCCACCCTGCTCAGCAACAGCAGCCAGGAGCCCGGCGTGTACGGCCCCAACAGCACCTCCAACGCGGGGGTCACGTCTTCATCATCCACCGCCGCGGCCGTGGTCTCCTAACGCACACAGGGGGCCACTCTATATGCCTTGAGAGCGAATGTACCACAAGGTATATAAAGACTACGGGAAATAATAAACAAAGACTCTAAAGTGCTGCGTATACATTTTGGATACAAAGAAGCTGAAAAATTGGTGGGAGTAAAAGGAGCGAACGCAGGGGGAATCTGAAGGCCGAGCGACATCACGGCGCTGTCAGCCAATGGGAATAAGCGCTCCGTGACACGCCCCCTCTCCTGCGGTTACTTTAGGGACCTGCCTATCCACTTCTGGTGTTTCGGAACGAGTGAAGTTCCTTCAAGCACCGGCACCTTTCTACGGCCACAACAACAATACATCCAACGTGTACAAAAAAAAATCTCTCGAAAGGAAAGTATATTTTTGCGCCCTCCCAAAAAACCCCTCTCGCCACTTGTTTTATAATTATTCCGTTTTGTTTTGTTGTTTTCGCGTTGATTTCCTAAAGGGGGCTGGATGTATTGTTGTTGGAGGGAGGATGCAGAGGGACACACATAAAACGTGACGATAACATAGTTTTTATGGACCAAGGATCTTGTATAAGCTTTAGTAAAGGTACATTTTTCTCCATACCTTTTTTGTATTAAACATATAGTACACTTTTGTTACCAAATAGTTTCTATTCTTCCTCTGAGCTTGGGCTTTGTTTCCCCCCTTTCTGAGGTCCAAAATCCCAACCTGTATGTTATTGTGACCTTACTACAAACGCCTGCTTTTTCAACCTTTTGGATTTCCTTTGTTTGTTTTTTGATACACTTGCTTCTTCTGTTGGGGAAAAAATCTGAAGTCTGGGTTGTTTATTTTACATAAGGTTGTATTTGTTTGTTGTTGTTTTTTTAAATTGGGGAATAACCTCAGATGGCCCATGTTTTATCATTGGTTTTTATGAAGTCTTCAAAAAGAAAAGCTTTAAGCAACGCCTCTGCCTTGCCTGCAATACTCTATGTGCGCTATGTTCTCCTTCGGACAAGTATACACATCAGTACATCTCACGTGGAGTCATAGCAACATTTGCAGAAAAACTAGACTTCCGTGGTTACGAAAAACAAGTCATTTTTCAAACAAGCGTAGTCATTGACTTAAAATGATAGCCTTAGTACTGTATATTCTTACTGTGTACACAGTCAAACCGCTCGCATATCTACTATCCTGTATCTGTTGCGCTCACTGTTAGCTTATCATGATGTAGTGAAAACACTACACCGAGCAAGGTGTCTTCCAGTGGTGGCATTTAACCCAAAAAAAAACACTTTTCAATTTGATGTGGCCTTACCGATAACTTCAATTACAAAAAAAAAAAACGTACTTCACCTTTTTCTTACCTGCTCACGTTGGAGGAACCTGTGCATAGCACAAGCTAATGCCTCGCTTCTCACCACAGGAGCGGTTCGAGCTCCACCTTTATCATGCAAAGCAGCCTTCCGGAAAGAGTCTCTTCGGTGTACAATATGCCCGTTTTTTTATTCTCATGCGGTGCGCGGCACCTTTCCACTTTTGGTACAATGTCTCACGAGCGCCGTAAGCTCTTTAGTCAGCCTTTCTTTTTAAAACAAAAAAAATCTCCTGTGGTTTTATTATCTTTGCAGAAAACAAGCGTGTGTGTGTACATCGTAGACTCCGAGTAGTTGCTCTCATCCGTGTTCATGGCGACCGCGTCTCCTGTAGGAGTTTAAAGGCCTTCTAAATGTGTGTTAATGAAGATTTCCAAACAGAACAGCAATATTGTACAGGTCATTTCATCGTCTTTTGTCCGCCTGAGCACTAGTTCACCAGCCAGCAAATATGTGTGTGTGGGTATGTGTGTGTGTGAGTGTGTGAGAGACTGTCATATGTAGTTGCTGTAATGGAATATTGAGTCAGACTCGCTCCATTTCAAAAGTGTGTTCCAACTGCTCTCCAAAAAAAAAAGCGACTGGGGTGTTTCTTCCTTCCACCAGGATCCAAATGTGCGATAAGATAAAAATTCAAAGGCAATACTTGTGATCTTAGTATTACAGTACAACTGTATACAGTACACTTCCGGGGGAAACAGAACAACAAAACTCTAACTTGAATGTCTGCTTAATGAAGTATTTCTTACAAACAAACCCTTGAAATAGGAACAAAAAAGGATTCGCTTGCACCCCCCTTTTCGATGTAAAAAAGATTAAGTTATGCCCCCGTTTCGCCGCCCACCTGTCAGTCATTCATATTAAATGTTTTATATTGTAATATTTTTTAAATTATTGGTACAAAGTCTCCCCTTGTCTTATGTCAAAACAGAAAAAGAAAAAGTGCATTATTGCCCGTGCTGCCTCAGTTGTCCTGGGAGTGTCATTTTTTCATTTTATAAAAAAAGAGGCCACTACCTGTTCATCCTGGAAAGCGTGGAGGTGCTGCAGCGGCAGTGTAGCGCCACATATTTGAGCTGCAGGTCAACCTGAACCCTTTACACACAGAATCTTAACTGTAGAATTTATAACGTGAGTGTTTTTTCTAATAAATTCAGCGAGTTTTTAACCTAGCTTCTGCATTAGCATCACGCCCTCCTCCTTCCTTAACCCCCCCCCCCTCCAGAGCTTTGATATTTTACTTTACATGCGGAGTCGCCTCTTACAGTTCACCACCTCCGGCTTCTCATCATCTCGAGCAGCTTTGTCCCATTAGCTCAAATAACTAATAAAGGGGGTGATGCATGCTTTTAAAAAACAATGTGTCGCCTTGACAATCTCAGCTGGTTTACAGTTAATTTCTCTCTTAAGAGACACTGAACATACTCAAAAAGGGGATGAGCTATCAAAACGGGGTCAAAAAATGTTACATGCCTTCTGAAATAACTAAATAGAGAAAGGAAAAATCTCATTCAGCGATGCTTCTTACAAAATATCTTAACCGGTTTCTTTCTCTTTGTGTGTCTGGTCATATTTGTTCTTCCAAAAGCAGCTGTTCTTGTGTTTGTTTGTTTTTTTATAATGAGCTCTGAACAATGTATGTATCCTCTAATATGCCAAATGTCTTTTATAATGTAGTTTTCATGCACTGCTAAACAAAACAGGGCAGAGTGAGAGGCAGCTTTAAACAAATACAAAAAAAAAGGAGTGTGGAGCCCTTCTCTGTCGCACTCAGCCTTACTTCTCCTTAAGACTATTGGCTGTTTGCACTACAGAGCGCTAACCCTTTCTCTTTCTCTCTCACACACATTTCATTCTCACTCTTATCCGCTCATGTTTATGTACGTACATTCGGAGTTTCCCCCTCCCTTTTTTTGTTTTTAACACGCAGCCTGTTATGCTTAGCTTCGCTACAGTTGGATCACCTTTCCGTTGTCATTCTCCCCCCTCCTCTCCTTCTCCATTCTCTTTCACTCTCACTGTATCTGTGTATTATTCTAGTAAATGGTAAGCAGAGGTGTCATTGTGGTAGTATACTCAGTGCTCAAAAGGTTGCTGATGGTAGAAACCTGTGCCGTTTGTAACATTTAGCAATAACGTCAAAACAAAGGGGACGGTTTTTTAAATAACATACGTTAGTTTTGTTTTTGTACATATTGCAGCTCCAGATCATGCTCAAATCTGTATGTCATTAAAAGAAAGAAAAAAAACGAGAAAAAAAACTTGCAATATTGGCATAAAAATGAAAAATAAAAAAGTGATATGAAATCTCGCTTTGTGTTATGTTTTTAATTGTCATCAGAAGCGTAGAGAAGCATTGTTTAATACACTTTTACAGAATAAATGAATAACCCAGTCTTTTCTTCCTCCAGTGACAGATACGCTCTCTCAGGGCTTTTGGCATCATCCAAGCCCAAATGGAGCTCTTATCCTTAGGAAGAAGTCCCAGAATATAGAGCCTATTCTTTTTCCACCACTCGTCTAATGCCCTTTGTCCTTTTTGGATCCACTTTCGTTAAAGCCGTTAAAAGCTCCACGTTACTTTGCCCTGAGCCTTCGCAGACGCAGGTCTTTATATGGTCAACCACGCTGGTTTTTCAGAGATGGCTCGTGTGTCTGTACATAACAAAAAGAACACAATACAACCCCCGAAACAACTATCAGATGTCAACGATTGATTACATTCAATTGTGTTCATGTTTAAAAGGACTTGTCAAAATAGGCACATCTTCATGCAATAAAACAACTCAAA